ACTTGAACAAATGCTTCGCCCAAACAACGCAATGAATCAGTTCAGTTGGTGTATTACGAATCGTACAACCTGGGTATGTTTTTTGTGCGCTCTTAGGCATACATTCGTAACATTCCGTCTTATCACGCATTATTACACCTACCTTAAAAAAACCATCCAATCATTTTCTTACATTTGCATCACAGTATTTGATTAAAAAACATTAAAATCAATCAAATCAGTTGCTTTATTTACCTGTCCAAGATATCCAGATGAGCCGCTTTCTATTAATGGAACACGTGCTGCCACGCACAATCGATTCACATGGTTACGGGCTGCTGAAATTTTTTTTCTCGAAAAAATTGATGAAAATTAGAGATATAAACTGCTATATGCATGCCTACTGACAGCTAGCAAACGCAATTATTCTCCTTTGTGAGCCAGGTACTTCATTAATTAATGAAGTCACGGATTCGTATGCATACTATACGGTCAAATATGAGAACGTAACAATTAAAAAAAGGAACATCTGATATCATCCAAAAAAATGAATGATGAAATTCAATCAACGAGAATTCGCTGACCTCGATTGTCCAATGCGCCTAGCACCACTGTGAACTGATGAAAGAAATCCACATCGTACTTGACACTGAAAATGAATCGTCATTTCCGTACAGTCTCACTCAAACATTTAGCAACGAAAACAACGGAATCGATATGGCCATCGATCTGCCCACGTCAAACAAAGTATGAATCTTAATGAACAAAATGGAAACAGAATATCAAATGAACGGAACAATAACTGTGAGAACTAACTTCATAATTGAATCATGATGACAGGTGATATTAACGTTTGGCATAATCGAACGAACTGCCTGAGCTGCCGTTTCAGCTTTCGACTTTCCAACATGTTCACGACGGAATAGAAATTGACGATTCAGATTGCTTACATCAATTGTATCCAGATCAACCTGAACATTTCGCAAATCATGATCTCACCAACACACTAATATTATATTATAAAAAATTAAGATTTTCAACCGTTAGCGCTACTGCATCGAATATTAAATAAAACAACTTCTCTGAACTGTTTGAAGCCGATTGACACAATTCTCGATTGATAAGAAATAATAGGATAATGAAGAAGATAACTTACGACGTCAATATTCGAGAACCCGGTAAGCGCCAGATTCTTGAGCAGTTCACATCCGATCCCTCCAGCTCCAACCACCAACACTCGACATTGCAGTTTTGATAAGAACGATTCATCTCGCCAGGACATTTTGCCGATTTTCTAAGAAAT